ATCAACAGCCTTACAAACGATTACATCACAGTTCACAACGTCACAATCAACAGCAGAAACTAAAGTAACCGACGCAACCACGTCCCAAACGGAGGTTCCACAAACGACGGCGTCGCAAACAATAACAGAAATGACAGGTAACGGCACAACAGTGTCGCAGCTAACAACGTCGCAAACAATGGAATTAGATACGACAGTGTCGCAAACGACGTCAACAGAAACGTCTGAAACAGAGACGACGTCACAGCCGGCAACGTCAGAAACGCAACAGTCACGTCCGACAACAATGGAAACAACGGAATTTGACAATAGTACGACGCAATCAACAACTGAACAAGCGGCGGCGGCGAAGCCAGCAACGGGGGTTGGCACATCTACGTCACTATCAACAGTGCCACAAACAACGGCGTCAGAAACGACGGGTACGACAACAGCGGCTACACCAACGACAGTGTTAGAAACAAAGCCAACAGACACGACAGTGTCACAAACAATGACACCAGACACGGCTATGTCACCAACAACGGCAACAGACACAACAGTGGCACAAACAACGGAGTTGGACACGACGGCGGCACACGCAGTGTCAACAGAAACAACTGAATTGCAAACATCCGCGTCTCAAACGCAAGCATCTCAGTTGACGACAGCAGAAACGACGGTAACTGACACGATTCCTTCACAATCAACAACTATACCATCAACCTCCTCACAAGCGATAACATCACAGTCGACAACGTCACAGTCGACAGCAGAAGCCACAGTGACCGATCCGACCACTTCCCAAACGGAGATTCCACAAACGACGGCGTCGCAAACAATAACAGAAATGACAGGTAACGGCACAACAGTGTCGCAGCCAACAACGTCGCAAACAATGGAATTAGATACGACAGTGTCGCAAACGACGTCAACAGAAACGTCTGAAACAGAGACGACGTCACAGCCGGCAACGTCAGAAACGCAACAGTCACGTCCGACAACAATGGAAACAACGGAGACTGACAATAATACGACACAATCAACAACTGCAGAAATGGCGGCGTCGCAAGTGACCACAGTTTCAACAAGAACCGAGATGTCTACGGTAAAACCAACAGCATTACAAACGACAGTATCAGAAACGACAGGCACGGAAAGAGTGGCCACACCACCGATAGCGTCGCAAGCGGCTGCCTCACGAGCAGTGACGTCACAAACAACGGCAACCGACACGGCGGTGTCACAGACAACGGCAACAGACGTGATCTTGTCACAAACAACAGCCACAGACACAACAGTGTCACAAACAACGGAGTTATACACGACGGCGGCACAAGCAGTGTCAACAGAAACGACTGAGTTACAAACATCTGTGTCTCAAACGCAAGCGTCTCAGTCGACAAAAGAAACGACAGAAACTGACAAGATGGCTTCACAATCAACAATTGCACAATCGACAATCTCACAAACGATAACATCAAACTCCACAACGTCACAATCAACATCAGAAACGACAAGAGCTGACACGACCACGTCTCAAACGGAGCTTCCACAATCGACGACGTCGCAAACAATAATAGAAATGACAGGTAACGGCACAACGGTGCCACAGCCAACAACATTGCGAATGATTGAACCAGACACGACGACGTCGCAAACGACGTCAACTGAAACGTCTGAAACAGAGACGACGTCACAATCGACGGCGTCAGAAACGGAAGCCTCTGGTTCGACAACACTGGAAGCGACGGATACCGTCAATAGTGCAACACAATCAACAACTGCAGAAGTGGCGGCGTCGCAACCGGCAAGGGGAGCTGACATATCTACGTCACAATCAACAGTGTCACAAACAACGGCGTCAGAAGCTACGGACACAACAGTGGCTACACCGACAGTGTTACAAACAAAATCAACAGGCACAACGGTGTCACAAACAACGGCAACAGACACGGCAGTGTCACAAACACCAGAAACAGACACGATGGAGTCACAAACAACGGCAACAGATACGACGTTGTTACAAACAACGACAACAGACAGTAAGACGTCCCATGTAATAACAGAAAAGGAAAGTAACGACATAACTATGTCACTGTCTGCAGCAGCGCAAACGACGACGCAACAAACGTTTGTGTCACAAACATCTTTGTCTCCGACGTCTGCGTCACAAACGTCTTTGTCTCCAACGTCTGTGTCACAATCGTCTATGTCTCCAACGCCTGCGTCTCAAACGTCACAATCCTCTCCATCTCAAACGCAATCGTCTGAGTCAACGGCAGCAGAAATGACAGAAACTGACACAATTGCGTCACAAGCAACAACTGCACAAGCCAGGCCATTACAAACAATGGAAACAGATAAGACGTCACAAACGACGTCAACAGCAACGTCTGAAACAGAAGCTGTGACAACACAACCGACAACGTCAGGAACGCAGCTGTCACGTTCGACAACGATGGAAACAACGGACACTGACAAAAGTACGACACAATCAACAACTGAACAAGCAGCGGCGTCGCAACTAACAACAATAACAACGGGAGCTGACATTTATACGTCAGAATCAACAGTGTCACAAATAACGGCGTCAGAAGTGACGGGCACAAAAACAGCGGCTACACCAACGACAGTGTTACAAACCAGGTCAACAGGCACAACAGTGTCACAAACAACAGCAGCAGACACGGTTATGTCACAAACAACGGCAACAGACACAACAGTGTCACAAACAACGGAGTTGGACACGATGGCGTCACAAGTAGGGTCAACAGAAACGACTGAGCTGCAAACATCTGTGTCTCAAACGCAAGCATCTCAGTCGACAAAAGAAACGACAGAAACTGACACGATGGCTTCACAATCAACAACTGCACCATCAACAGTCTCGCAAACGAAAACATCACAGCCCACAACGTTACAATCGACAGCAGAAACTTATAGAACTGACTTGACCAAGTCTCAAACGGAGATCCCACAAACGACGACTTCACCAACAATAAAAACAACGGCAATAACAAGTAACGGCACAGCGGTGTCACAGCCAGCAACATCGCAAACGATAGAATCGGATAGGATGTCGAAAATGACGTCAACAGAAACGTTTGAAACAGAGACAACATCACAACCGACGACGTCAGGAACGCAAGCCTCAGGTCTGACGACAATGGAAGCGACGGAAACTGTCAATAGTACATCAGAATCAACAACTGAACAAGCTGCGACAACGCAACTAGCAACGGAAGCTGACATATCTACGTCACAATCAACCGAGCCACAAACAACGGCGTCAGATGCGACGAGCACGGTAGCAGCGGCTACTCCAAAGACAGTGTCACTAACAACGATAACAGATACGACAGTGTCACAGTCAATGTCAACAGACACGGTGGTGTCACAAACAACGGGAACAGACGCGACGGTGTCACAAACAGTGTCAACAGAAAATACTGAGTTGCAAACGTCTGCGTCTCCAGCACAAGCGTCTCAGTCCACGACAACAGAAACGGCGGAAGCTGACACGATTCCTTCACAATCAACAACTGCACAATCAAACGTCTCACAAACGATAACATCAAAGTCCACAACGTCACAATCGACAGCAGAAACGACAAGAGCTGACACGACCACGTCTCAAACGGAGATTCCACAATCGACGGCGTCGCAAGCAATAACTGAAATGACAGGCAACGGCACAACGGCCCCACAGCCAACAACATTGCAAATGATGGAACCAGACACGACGACGTCGCAAAAGACGTTAAAAGAAACGTCTGAAACAGAAACGACGTCACAACCGGCGACGTCAGAAACGCAAGCGTCACGTCCGACAATAATGGAAGCGACGGAAACTGACAATAGTACGACACAATCAACAACTGAAGAAGTGGCGGCGTCGCAACCAACAACAGTAACAGCAGGAGCTGACATATATACGTCACAATCAACAGTGTCACAAACAACGGCGTCAGAGGCAACGGGCACAAAAACAGCGGCTGCACCAACGATAGCATCCCAAACGACTGTCTCACAAGCAGCGACGTCACAAACAACTGCAACAGACACGGCGGTGTCACAGACAACGGCAACAGACGTGATGTTGTCACAAACAACGGCCACAGACACAACAGTGTCACAAACAACGGAGTTATACACGACGGCGGCACAAGCAGTGTCAACAGAAACGACTGAGTTGCAAACATCTGCGTCTCAAACGCAAGCGTCTCAGTCGACAACAGAAACGACAGAAACTGACAAGATGGCTTCACAATCAACAATTGCACAATCGACAATCTCACAAACGAAAACATCACAGTTCACATTGTCACAATCGACAGCAGAAGCGACAAGAGCTGACACGACCACGTCCGAAACGGAGATTCCACAATCGACGGCGTCGCAAACAATAACTGAAATGACAGGTAACGGCACAACGGCCCCACAGCCAACAACATTGCAAATGATGGAACCAGACACGATGACGTCGCAAAAGACGTTAAAAGAGACGTCTGAAACAGAAGCGGCAACATCACAACTGGCGACGTCAGCAACGCAAGCGTCACGTCCGACAATAATGGAAGCGACGGAAACTGACAATAGTACGACACAATCAACAACTGAAGAAGTGGTTGCGTCGCAACCAACAACAGTAACAGCGGGAGCTGACATATATACGTCACAATCAACAGTGTCACAAACAACGGCGTCAGAGGCCACGGGCACAAAAACAGCGGCTGCGCCAACGATAGCATCCCAAACGACTGTCTCACTAGCAGCGACATCAACTGCAACAGACACGGCGGTGTCACAAATAATGGCTTCACAAACAGCAGCGTCACAAGCGCAAGCGTCACTTTCAACCACAATGGAAACGATAGAAACTGACATGATTACGCCACTACCAACAACTGCACAAACAACTGCACAAATGGCGCCACAGTCGACGACGTCACAAACGACGGAGGTTCAATCGACGAAAGAAACGACAAGTACCGACACCACGGCGTCACAATCAACGTCAATAGAAACAGTAGCGTCACAATCAACGTCGTCTCAAATGACGGCATCAAAAACAGTGACAGCCGAAATGACGACGTCTCAAGCGACAGCAGAAATAGAAGGTGCCGACACAACGGCGTCACTGTCCACAGCACCACAAACGTCTGCGTCACAAACGTCTCCACCTCAAACACAATCGTCTCAGCCGACGCCAGCAGAAATGACAGAAAGTGACACAATTGTGTCCCAAGCAACAACCGCACAAGCAGTGACATCACGAACAATGGAATCAGACATGACGACAGAAACGTCTGAAACAAAAACGGTGACAACACCAATAACTACATCACAAATCACAACGTCACAAACGACGGGAACAGCAAGCACGAAAACCAAAATGACGGAAGAAGAAACGGCGACTTCACCAACCATGACCTTACAAACAACGGAAGAAAGCACAAAAATCGACCTGACGCTGTCGCAAACAACTGCTCGAACGACAGCGTCGCAAGCGACAGAGTCACAAATGCAATCGTCTCAGCCGACGACGGTAAAAATTACAGAAACTGACACGATTGCGTCACAGGCAACAACTGCACAAACAGTGGCGTTACAAACGATAACGTCACAGTCGACAGCGTCACAGTCGACACCGTCAGAAACGGCAGAATCAGCAACGACCGAAACAGAAATGGTTGCCACACCAACAATGTTACAAACGACGCAGTTGCAATTGACAAAGCAAGCGACAACTACCGGCGCGATAACGTCACAGACAACGGCAATAGAGACAGCGGCGTCACAATCAACGGCGTCACAAATTACATCAGAAACTGCAGCACGGGAAACAACGACGTCACAGACGGCAACTCAACTAACGACGTCAACAAAAGAGTCTGAAACAGAGACAGAGACAGAAGCGTCTGTTAAAAACACGACTGTTTCACATACAACATCATTACACACAGTTGAGTCGCAAATGACAAAGAACGACACGACGTTGTCAGAAACGTCACAAACGACGACAGCAGCGACGGAAACAGACACAACGGGTTCACAAGCAACAGCGTCAATAACAAGCCGTTCACAAAACTCGGAAACAGAAACGATGGCGCCACAAACGACACAACCACAAACGGCGGGAACAGACGCTACGGTGTCACAAGGGGAGACAGCAGAAACGGTGACTGGACCAACGGTGACGTCACAAACCGCGTCGCCGCAATCGACGGTAACAGAAATGGGAAGCACTGACATGATGCCGTCTCAATCAGAAGCGCCGCAAGGGACAACGTCACCAGCGACGGTGCTTCAAACAGCAACAGCAGAGACCTGGGGGACCGAAACGAGGCCAACCGAAACAACGGAGGCTCCGAGAGCACAGTCAACAGCGTCGGAAACTACTAGAGACTCTGTCGCAGAGACGAGCGTGGAGTCTGCTGCTGACTCCAGCGAGGGGACTCCGGAGCCCTCGGTCTCGGAGTCACCAGACCCAGCAGCGTCCGCGGCCACCAGTTCCGTGCCGGTCACCGTAAGGACAGAGAGTGGCCCGAGGGGGACGGACGGACTCGAAATCCGCGATCAGCTGGGAACCTCACTGCATGCCAACCTTAGCACGGCGAACACCGAGCATGCTGTTTCACCAACATCCACACATAGCACTGTGCGTGACAGCCTAAATTCTTCCCAAGAAGTTACAGCAGCTGATGGTATTAGTAGAACCAAGAGCGACATCACAGCTGCTATACGTACCACAACAACCACGGTCTATGAGGGGACTACTTTTGAGACTACACGTCCGGCCACAACTGAGACCACTAGCAGAAAGACTTCACTATTGCCTAAAACCAGCTCTAATGAAGCTTTCGAAACCGATATAACAAAAACGAAAAAATCAGCAAGTACTCGCATAAGTGCTAATAATAACTCTGGACCAAGTACGAAAACGACACCCAGTAAAATGGAGGGCTCAACTAAATCTAATTATACAACGCATACCACCGCAATAAATCCTTCTTACACAATAACAACAAACGCTAACGCTGGATTTACTACAGATATATTTGCTGACACTAAAACAACTCCAACGGCAGAATCAACTAATCATCATTTTACTACAAGGAACACTACTGACACTACAAAATCTCCAACGACAGGTTTAACTGTAACTGGTGTTACTGTAGACAACAGTACAGACATAACAACATCCCCAAAGCCAGGCTCCACTGTTACAGGTGATACTATTGATACCAGTACTGACACCAAAACAATTCCAGTGCCAGGCCCAACTGTTACAGGTGATATTAAAAACACAAATACTGGCACTACAACATCTCCGGTGAAAGGCTCAACAGTTGCAGGTGTGGCTATCCATACCAGTGCTGACACTACCACAGATCCAGTGACAGGCGCAACTATTACTTCTGTTGCTATAGATAACAGTACTGACACCACAACATCTCCAGTGACAGGCTCAACTGATACAGGTGCTACTCTAGATACCAGTACTATGGACACCACAACATCTCCAGTGACAGGATCGGCTGCTACTGGTGTTACCATAGATACTACTACTGACACTACAACAGTTCCAGTAACAGACCCAGCTGTTGCAGGTGTTACTCTAGATACCAGCACAGACAAAACATCTTCAGTGACAGGCTCAACTGTTACTCGTGTTTTTACAAGTACAACTATTGACACTGCATCCACAGTGACAGACTCAACAGTCGCAGGTGCCTCTCTAGATACCAGTACTGACACCATACCTCCAGTGACAGGCTCCACTAATACAGGTGTTACTCAAGATACGATTACTGACACTACAACATCCAAAGTGACAGGATCAACTGCTACTGGTGTCACTATAGATACTACTACTGACACTTCAACAGCTCAAGTGACAGGATTAGATGTTACTGGTGTTACTACAGACACAACTACTGACACCACAACATCTCCAGTTATAGATTCAGCTGTTAAAAGTGTTACTCTAGATACCAGTACTGACAAAACATCTCCAGTGACAGACTTAACTGTTACTGGCGTTTTTACAGGCACAACTACTGACACCACACCTCCAGTGACTGGCTCAACTAATACAGGTGCTACTCTAGATATCAGTTCTGAAACCACAACATCCGCAGTGAGAGGTTCAACTGTGGCAGGTGTTAATGAAGAAACCATTACTGACACTACAACATCTCAAGTGACAGGTCCAACTATTACTGGTGCTGCTATAGATACAAGTACTGACACCACAACATCTCCAGTGACAAGATCAACTGCTACTGATGCTACTATAGACACAACTACTGACACCACAGCTCCAGTGACAAACCCAGCTGATGCAGGTGTTACTCTAGATACCAGTACTGATCAAAAATCTCCAGTGACAGGCTCAACTGTTACTCGTGTTTTTACAAGTACAACTATTGACCCTGCGTCCACAGTGACAAACTCAACAGTCGCAGGTGCCTCGCTAGATATCAGTACTGACACCACAATATCTCCAGTGACAGGATCAACTGCTACTGGTGTAACTACAGATACAACTACTGACACCACAACATCTCTAGTGACAGACCCATCTGTTGCAGGTGTTACTATAGATACCAGTACTGACAAAACATCTCCAGTGACAGGCACAACTGTTACTGGTGTTTTTACCAGTACAACTACTGATAATGCATCTACAGTGACAGACTCAACAGTCGCAGGTGCCTCTCTAGATATCAGTACGAACACCACGCCTCCAGTGACAAGCTCAACTGTCTCTGGTGTTAATTTAGATACAAGTACTGACACCACAACAGCTCCAATGACAGGCTCACCTGTTACTGGTGTTTTCACAGACACAACTGCTGACACCACATCTCCAGTGACAAGCTCAACTGTTGCTGGTGTTACTACAGGCACAACTATTGACACCACAACAGCTGCAGTGCCAGGCTCAACTGTTACAGGTTCTACCATGGATCCCATAACTGACACTACAACATCTCCAGGGACAAGCTCACCTGTTAATGGTGTTTTCACAGACACGACTGCTGACACCACATCTCCAATGAAAGGCCCATCTGTTGCTGGTGTTACTACAGGCACAACTATTGACACTACAAAAGCTCCAGTGACAGGCTCAACTGTTATAGATAGCACTATGGATCACATAACTGACACTACAACATCTCCAGGGACAAGCTCACCTGTTACCGGTGTTTCTACTGAACAAACTACTGACACTACAACAGCTCCAGCGACAGACTCAACGGCAACTGGTGTTTCTTTTGAGAAAACTACCGACACCACAACAGCTCCAGCGACAGGCTCGCCTGTTACTGGTGTTTTCACAACCACAAATGCTGACACCACATCTCCAATGACAGGCTCAACTGCTGCCGGTGTTACTAGAGGCACAACTATTGCCACTACAACAGCTCCAGTGCCAGGATCAACTGTTATAGATAGCACTATACATCCCATAACTGACACTACAACATCTCCAGGGACATCCTCACCTGTTACTGGTATATTCACAGACACAGCGCCTGACACCACATCTACAGTGAGAGGCTCAATTGTTACTGGTGCTACTACAGGCACAACTATTGACACTACAACAGCTGCAGTACCACGCTCAACTTTTGCAGATTCTACTATGCATCCAATAACTGACACTAAATCATCTCCCGGGACAAGCTCATCTGTTGCTGGTGTTTTCACAGACATAACTGCTGACACCACATCTCCAGTGACAGGCTCAACTGTTACACGTAGTACTATGGATCCCACTACTGACACTACAACATCTCCAGGGACAGGCTCAGCTGCAACTGGTGTTTCTACTGACAAAACTACCGACACCACAACAGCTCCAGCGACAGGCTCACCTGTTACTGGTGTTTTCACAGACACAACTGCTGTCACCACATCTCCAGTGAGAGGCTCGCCTGTTACTGGTGTTACAACAGGCACAACTATTGACACTACAACAGCTGCAGTGCCACACTCAACTGTTGCAGGTTCTACTATGCATCCCATAACTGACGCTAAAACATCTCCAGGGACAAGCTCACCTGTTGCTGGTGTTTTCACAGACACAACTGCTGACACCACATCTCCAGTGACCGGCTCAACTGTAACGCATAGTACTATGAATCCCACTACTGACACTACAACATCTCCAGAGACAGGCTCAGCTGCAACTGGTGTTTCTACTGACAAAACTACCGACACCACAACAGCTCCAGCGACAGGTTCACCTGTTACTGGTGTTTTCACAGACACAACTGCTGACACCATATCTCCAATGACAGGCTCAACTGTTGCTGGTGTTACTAGAGGCACAACTATTAACACTACAACAGCTGCAGTCCCAGGCTCAACTGTTATAGATAGCACTATGGATCTCATAACTGACACTACAACATCTCAAGGGACAAGCTCACCTGTTACTGGTGTTTTCAAAGACACAACAGCTGACACCACATCTCCAGTGACAAGCTCAACTGTTGCTGGTGTTACTACAGGCACAACTACTGACACTACCACAGCTCCAGTGACAGGCTCAACTGCAACTGGTGTTTCATTTGAGAAAACTACCGACACCACAACAGCTCCATCGACAGGATCACCTGTTATTGGTGATTTCACAACCACAAATGCTGACACCACATCTCCAATGACAGGCTCAGCTGTTGCTGGTGTTACTACTGGCACAACTATTGACACTACAACAGCTCCAGTGACAGGCTCAACTGTTATAGATAGCACTATGGATCCCACTACTGACACTACAACATATCCAGGGACAGGCTCAGCTGCTACTGGTGTTTCTACTGACAAAACTACCGACACCACAACAGCTCCAGCGATAGGCTCACCTGTTACTGGTGTTTTCACAGACACAACTGCTGACACCACATCTCCAGTGACAGGTTCAACTGTTACACGTAGTACTATGGATTCCACTACTGACACTACCACATCTCCAGGGACAGGCTCAGCTGCAACTGGTGTTTCTACTGACAAACCTACCGACACCACAACAGCTCCAGCGACAAGCTCACCTGTTACTGGTGTTTTCAGAGACACAACTGCTGTCACCACATCTCCAGTGACAGGCTCAACTGTTGCTGGCGTTACTACAGGTACAACTATTGACACTACAACAGCTCCAGTGACAGGCTCAACTGTTATAGATAGCACTATGGATCCCATAACTGACACTACAGCATCTCCAGTGACAAGCTCGCCTGTTACTGGTGTTTTCACAGACACAACAGCTGACACCACATCTCCAGCGACAGGCTCAAATGTTGTTGGTGTTACTACAGGCACAACTACTGACACTACCACATCTCCAGTGACAGCCTCAAATGTTGTTAGTGTTACTACAGGCACAACTA